AAAGAAAAATTCTAAGATATAATCAAAAAATATACTGAACTCTCACAATAAAAATGTTAAAATGAATATAGCAACGTCGTTTTACCATAACGAGGATGAAATATATAGAATCTCATAAAATGTGTGTTTAAAAAAAAAAAAAAAAGATCTCGTCTTTTAGGAATTTTATAGATTTAAAACTATTAAGGAGAAAAGTGGCTTTGTCTATTTTAGTATGAATCAGTCATTATGTCTATTTATCTATTTATTTGTGAACTAGTAAATAGCTCTTCTAATACCAGTTAAGAGAAATTCCTACCGCATTGCTGGAATCGAAGCGAAAACCATAATTAGTATACTTTGGAGAGGGACAGCTGGCTATTGGTTGCAATGGGAATATACCCTCTTGCTTAAAGGATAAGAGGAGAGGGGGGAGGGTACAGAGGGACAGAAACTTTAATTAAACGCACTTAATTAACTTTAATGTATGACAGTAACCTCGAAAGTACATATATAATACTCGGTTTATAAATTACACCTAGAGAAAAAATTTATTTTTTTTTAGAGCCAAAAAAAATGTTTATTTCTTTAAAAATAAATTTTTATTTGATTTAAATAAATTGTAATTGGTTTGAATATTTTATTTTCGTAAAAAAAACAAAAAAAAATAAAATTTTATTCAAACCGAAGAAATAATAAATAATGTTTTCGAATTAAAAACAATTATTCGCGGATTTTTTTTTTTTTTTAAAGACGAGAAGACACGTGTTATTATTTATTTATTTCGCGAGCAAATGAGGGGGACGAAAAGTGTTACGTTTCCGGTGCGAGGGAGTAAGAGGTGTTTCTCTCTCTCTCTCTCTCTCACTCTCGCTTTTTCTGTCTCTCTTTGTGGGTGATGACATATGGACGTGACTGTATGTGTCTTATCTCGTCTCTTGTTTCCACCGTGGGTTGGTTCGCCTCCTTTATTTTTTTGCTTCTTCTTTTGTCGTTGTTGAAAAAAAAGAACGACCGGTTACTTGTCTTCTCTTGGACGTCGTTCAAAGTTCAGCTCACGATGTATCGAACGCCACTTACACGCGGACTATTATTATCTCTATATGTATACCTAAAAGCCTATAGGTAGTCTTGGGAACAGGTGGTGAAATACCTTTTTCACTCGAGAGATAGGCTCTAGAAACCAGGTTCTGGAAATTTATGATCGAACGGTAGCTGCATCTCAGAACGATTACGGGATCAAAAAGGAATCTCAAGTGGCGCTTAGTTGTTTGCTCTTGAAAATTGTCTCCAGAAAAAAAAATTTAATTTTCAATGTTTTGTAATATTTAATTATTTATATATACATATATATATATTTTTTTTTATGCACTTTCGACATATGTTCACGAAAAAGAAACATTTAAATTTTTTTTTAACTTTGGACCTGATTTTTTTTATTTCTTTTTTTCCTTTGCATAATGGAACTGCCTATACTAGGAAGATTTTGCACTTTTTTGCAAATTTCTTTTTTAGTACTTCCAGGTATGTAGAAATAAAAAAAGTAAGAAAAAATTAATTTGTTGTATAGAAATATTATCAGAGTAGCAAATGGAATTACAGCAAAATTCCGTTTGCGGAAAACATAATTTTTTGGTAGGTATATGGACACAATTCAAAAAGAAAAAAAAATGATTATCAATAATTGAAGCTGGCAGTTTTTGATGTTGACGAAAAAAGAAGAAAGATTGTGGAATGGTTGAAGGAAGAAGAAGAAGATGATGATGATGATGATGATGAAGAAGAAGAAGGAAGACGAAGAGACAACTGAAAGAGTATATAGAGAAGGAGGACGGGTCTCACTGTGGCTCGTCGTATTTCAAGTCTAGTTAAGGGAGCCATAATTCAGAGGATAGCACCAGGTCGTCGTTTACTTCAAACGGCCCATAAATTATGGGGTTTTAATTTCGCGATATTAACGGGACGATCGGACGAATACTGAACCTAAGCGAGCATGAGCACCGTTTTCTTGCCTCCTTTGTATAAGAGCATAGGCCTTCTCACAACAACTTCCTTCTTCTCTTCTCGTTAACCCTTTCATGAAGTGGCAAAAACCTTCGCGAGTCAAGACCCCCTTCAATGCGATAGGTGCGATTTAATTCTTTATATCATCAAAAACAGAAAAATAAAATGAAATTTTAACGAATTGAATTTTTACATTTTTTATTTCTTGACCGCAATTTTTTAACTTTTTTAAATAAGTGATAAAAAAAACCGTTCGTTATTGAATAATTAATTGACTTATTAAGTAGAAAGAAAAACAGTTGTGAAAAAATAATTGACTTTTCAAAGTTTATATCTCAATTGTTATTTCTAATTGTTCTTTTTACAATACAATTATTAACTCAAAGTCTTTAACTCATCTTTTTATATTAACTAATGTAGTATGTCTATAATGCCTATATGTCTTTATTTCTTTCTTTTACTTCAATCCTCCTATATACATATATTGAATAATATTCTCTCTCATAACTTATTCTTCGAAACTACTTATAAGTAGTTTCACTGTACAACCTAGAAACAATGTTTCAAAATGTATCTTCAATCATTTAAAATTCATATGCATCGAATCGACCTCTTAATATACTATATAACCGCTTATATTGAACGATATAAAGTTTCTTGTGATAAAATATTAGAGAAAAAAATTTATACATATACATATATATATATATATATATATATATATTTATAAAAGTTTAACATGTCAAACTCAAGTGAAACTTATTGAATATGAAATAATTCAAGATTACATAAGTGCCACGAAGGAAAGCGTTTATTTTTTTAAAATATTTATTAAATTGTATATACTTGAATCGATAAACGGTATATGTATAATAAGATTATAATAGAGCAGTAGAATGATAATAATAAAATAATAAAAACACTAGGAGGAAAAAATTAAAAATCACATCTTTTAATTTCTTAAATATTATTTTCATTCTACTTTCTAATTTTTTTTTTTTTTCATTCTAATTTTTTGTAAACTTTCATTTGTCCGAATAATAATTTCTGGCAGAAAAATGTGGGCGAAAATTTTAAAATTTATATACCAATCACAATTTTCTTGATTACCTCTTTTGATTGATTAATTTTAAAATTAGCGCTCAAATTTTTCTGACAGAAATTTATTCGGATAAATGAAAGTTTTGTAAAAATTAAAATTCAGTGTTTTAAGAATTCTATCATATATATATATATATATACAAATTCAAACAAATCTAAATTCGTTTAGAAAAGAATTCTTTCTAATATTCTTTCTGTGAAATAAAATTTCTTAATGACAATTTTCTTGTGAAAATTGGATCGAATTATTCTGTAATATAGCGAAATTTGTTTAAATATAAATTCTAGGTAATGAATTTTTGGCAAATAAAAATTCTAATAAAGAGAGCTTATTAGAGAGATTATTAGAGCTTATTCTTGCTTTTAAGAATTCAATATTATCACTTAATTTTAACGAAATAAAACGAAAGTGCTAAATATATACAAAGGAGGTAAATTAGAAGAAATAAAAAATATAGCAGAAGGTAGTTAAAAAAAATAGGATTAAAAAAATAAAAGTATTAACAAGAATAAAATAATAAGAAAAACAAATGTAAAAACAAAAAATTGAAAGCTAATTATTCTGAAACAGTTAATTACTTGGTAGAGGACATGTTTTTTTTATATATAAATAACGCATGAAATTCAGTGAGTTGTAATTATATATATATATATTGTGGAAAAGTTCTTCGCTCGTATAAAGTTTTGCGAAATCGTAAACGAGAGAAAATGCGGGCAGTTAGAAATACGTATGGTATATATATATATGTATATATATATATATATATATACAATATGCGAGTTTGGCAGTGAGAATTATTTAGAGGTGGTCGAACGGAAATTAATGATCAATTTGACACGTGCAGTCATTTAAAGTCGACAAAAAAGATTTTCAACTTGCAGAAATGGAAAGAAAAGAGAAAGGAGCCTTCCACAACTTGTGGATGAGTAAAATTTGCCGATCGCTACTGTAATTAGGAAACGGGTCCGTAACACGATACGCATTTCAATTAGAACTGTTCTCGTTTTGCGAACGTTCAAAAACCCAATTCCAGAAATATATTACAACGTAAAGATTCAATGCACGATTACCAACAGTCCATTTGCTTGGATAATAAACGCTATATATATATATATAATTCTTCTTTATTGCCTGTCTCTTTCTCTATGTATATATATCTCTCTCTCATTTGCGACAAGAGTTTTCTGCAACGTCAATGTTAAAATTGAATCATATAAATTATATTTATTTATTTATTTTAAATACCATTTAATTGACTGAATAATTATAGAAAAAAAAAATTTAGAAAAATAAAAATTAGAAAATATTTTTTAGAAAAAGTGTAATCCAATAATTATACACAGTTGAAAAACTTATCAGTTTAAATGAAGATATAGTTAAAAAATTGAAATGTTTTGGTATGTATAATTGAAGAAATTTTTTCTTGTTATTGAAATAATTTCCAATGCGTTTAATGAACTCAAATAATTTGTTTAATCATTTTATAACATTTTCAATGATTTTATAAAGTCTGACAAGCAACAGATGGTGCGTTCTTAATCTGTTGCTGCAATTTAAATGCAGTTTCTGCCACTCAGCTGTTACAGCAAAGTGTTAGGTTGCAATTAAGTTGTAATGACTTTGTACGAACGGTAGATCATTTGAATAGCTCTAATAAAATTTATATATTCATTTAATAATTAACTGCACTATTTGTCAGTGGTTTTTTTTTTTTAATAAAAAAATTTGTTCCTCTTTTTATAATAATTATTCTTAATACAATAAAAATATTAATTAGAAAATATTTATTTTATATTTCAAACTAATATCACTAAAAAAAAAATAATATCTAATAAATTTCAATTTTTTTGTAATTAACATTCAATGTTGACACATAATTAATTTTAACTTTTTGACACGTTTATAACTGTTACAGACGTGCAAATCTAGCAAGTTGAGAGAGGGAGATTTATCAGCCGAATTGGAATTTTAGTTGGACTTCATCGTCTCGGTGAGTTTTTTTTTTTTTTTTTTTCATTTTCTCTCTTTCTCTGCATATAATACTAATTTGGTGAAGACATATACGTATACAGAAAGTTTTGCACTAAACTTGGGACATAAATAAGTCAGCTCACACTAAATGACGGAAGAGCAAGTGATTCATGACACGTACACGATTTAGTTAAAACGATGCATTTCCCGAGAGTATAAAGAGCGAATAGAAATAGGTGAACTCTCGTGATCGTGCTTGTTGATCGAAGTGACGTCGATGATGCATCGCCAGAATGAGTGTGAGAGAGAGAGAGAACGTTTACTGCTGCGCCTCATTATTGCAATTAGAATTCTAATACTAGGTCTGTCTTTAATGAATATGAAAATGAATAGCCTCTGATTCGAATTGCACATACGTAAATGGCTTTTAGGTGCGTGTGTATGCCGCGTTGGACATGGCAAAAGTCAGCTGGTAGTCCGCTTAAACCTTTACGGCTTCATCCAACTCGATTTCCCTCCTAAACGAATCAACTGAACCCTCCTTTTCTCATTCATCCTTTTAAACACGCGAACAAATAATTAAACATCAATATATTATGATTTTTCACTTTTTTTTAAAAAAATTTTCCCATATTATTTTTATCAGCGTATTTTTTCCATACTAGTATATATACTAACGTAAAAATTTTATATGTTTTTAATATTAAATACATTGTTGTTTCAATGTATTTAAAATTAATTTAATTTTCCTAATCATTCTAATCATTCATTTGAAAAGAAAAAAAATTTGTGCTCTGCACTACATCTTCTGAGTATGAGTCATCTGTTCTTATAGTATATTCAAGACTGTTCTCAACTGTAGGAGAAAAAACTCTCACCCATCTGGCGGCGTAAGTGTGAAACTATGATAACATTATAGGAGAATTTTCATTGTTCCACACTTACGCCGCCAGATGGTGAGAGTTTTTTCTCCTACAGTTGAGAACCGTCTTAAATACTAGTAGACTCATACTCAGAAGATGTATTGCAAGCACAAAATTTTTTTTCTTTTCAAATGGATTGCAGTAATATTATTTGATTTTAATCATTTTTTTCTTTTTATTCTGTGATTTAATTATTTTAATTTACAAAAGAAAATTGTCAAAGTAATTTTTAAGTATACTTTAAAATTTTATTTTCTTAAATATTGCTTCTCAAAATTTTTGAAAATTCTCCGCGCAAGTTTTCTGTGCAAATTGTTTTTGAAATTTTTCATAAATCTTATACTTAGCATATGTTTGCAGCTAAAATTTGCACTGCAAACATGCTGCAAGTTTTTGGCGGTTTTTGTGCTATCATATCAGGGTATTAATGAGTTTCAAGTTTATTATTTTAATTTAAAAATTTCTTTTCCAATATTGGATCCACCATATTGAATTTTTAAAAACCAACCACATGAACTCGTAATCAATCACCGCTAAAAGCTTCGAGAAACGAGTTTTAAGTAAATCCAATGAATTTCAAAAAATTTTCCTCCATATTAGATTCGCCATTTTGAATTTTGAAAAACTGACATCGGATTCGAAATTAGCGACTATAAAAACCGCAAAGTAATAAGTTTCTAGCAATCAAAACCCCCCGAGTATAAAGTTTCAAAGCATTTAACTTCTTTGACCTAAATAAACTTCTTCAGAACTACTTTATAAGAGGTAAATAATTTTTTTTAATTATTAAAAAATTATGTTGTTTATTTCAATAAATATTTAGATTTTTTATAAACAATAGAAAGTCTTGGACACTTATGTATTTTGAAAATATTATCCTTTCTGAAAAAAAACGCTAAAATTGAAAAAAAATATTAATTTTTCTTAAGATATGTATTAAAATTGTTGTCGGTTGGATATTATACCTATATATATATATATTATTATTATTATTATTATATATATATATATAAATATATAAACATGAAATATATGAACATGTCCTACATAAACATGAAAGGGTTAAAGAATAAATCAAAGTATTTCTTTTTCCAAGTGTAAATTAAAATTTTTTTTAATTCTGTCCAAATAAAAAATTTTAGTCTAATTGTAAATATAATTTTTTTTTTCTAATTAACGTGAATTTTGCTCGTTAAGCTTTTAATTTAAATTGTTTTCTTAGCAATTTTATACAAGTTTTTGCATGTTAAAAATTTTTGTATGATTGTTTTTGTTAATTGTTGGATCATCAATGCTGATTAATTTTTTTTTTTTTTTTTAAATAAGAGTTTCTTTGCCTTATATAAAAAAAAAACAGTCAATGAGGAGATGACAAATGATAATAAAAACGAGTGAACTTTACAACATGACCTGTTGGCACGCGATGATTTGCTGATCTAAAGATAATTGTTATTCGTTAATTTAAAAAAGAAATTCATAATCTAATGCTACACTTGAGCATGAAACATTGTTATTAATTGTATAAAAAAATAAAAAAGAAAAAAAGAAAATTGCAAACAAAAAGAGCGATAAAAATCTTAAACTAAAATTTAAGTGACGTTGACAATTTTTAAAACATAATTTGACATTTAAACAAATCAATTTTAGTTGCAAATTTTTGTAATGTTCTATATTGAAATATTTTATTATGAGCTACTGTTAATTTTAAAAATTATTATTATTCTAAAGTAATTAATTGAAAGATGTGGGAATGAAAATTAATGATATAATATGTTTATGAAAAATGATATTTGTCAATAAAAAGTACATGCGGTTATTGAAAATATGCAACGTGTTTAACAGGTGTTTCGCGATTTTATAACGTTTCAAGACCCGATTACCTTGCCGGTAGTAACCCGTCGAGTTTACACAGTTGACCCTTGAACCTTTCTTGGCTGTCTCTCGACGCCGGAGGTCGATGGAACCGCGTCGCCGAGAGAAAGATTCGTGAGATATTCTCTCATCCATCTCGATTCGTCTCGATCATTCACCGACGTCGGCCCCCTTACCACCTTCCTCACTTGAAACTTAATCATCATCAAAAACCCCACATAGTTTGCTCATTGATGTCATAATCATGTTTGTCTCACTTTCTATCATCCTACTATATATAATGTATCAGAATATATTAATTTCTCTTGTTAAATTTATTTATAAATTAGATATATGATTCTTAATAAAATATCGTTTAACTGAATAATATTTATAGTACAAAATTACACCCAAAAAAAAGTAATCTTATACTTAGAGGAAAATTCCTCTTCTAATATCCTCTAAATATTTCCTCTTAAAACAAGATTATTCAATTGAAATGTAGAATATTTTTATTCTTCATTTTAATGGAAGAATGACAAAAGGATTCCTTTTGTATTTTCCTCTTTAATTAAGATTTTCCGTTTTAAATTTAGAAGATTTAAAAAAAGGAAACGGAAAAAAATAATGTAATCGTTTGATCCCTTTCCCTGGGTATGATAATTGTGAAGTTGTTTTTTAACCTTTCAGTTTTAATATTTCTGGTAAAATGTCAACAAAAAGGACAAAAAAATGGATTTGCTTTATTAAAAATACAGAAAATATAGTTAAATTCAAATTAAATGAATATTTTTAACGCTATTTTTAGATTTAAAAAAATTTGGATATTTCTTGTGAAATTTTACTACTCAGGTAAATAGAAATACTATAACCCCATTTTTGAATCTTTCGAATTTTTTAAATCTTTTTATTTACTTTTTTAAAAAAGTTTTAAAACGTTAAATAATTTCATATATGAAATTTTTTTCTGTCCTATAAAAAATGTTAACTTTTAAACATATCATCATGTTTTAAAATTATTTTTGCGCTGAAAATCTCGTTGATCATTACAACTGATTAATGAAAACTTATTTTTTGTATTTTAATTATCAATATGAAATGTTGATAATTAACCAAAAACATGACATTGTTAATGTTATATTAAAAAACAATTTTTATTATTATATTGAAATGAACTATTATAATTTTACTTAATTTTAATTTAAAAATGTATTTTCTGCAAAGATTTTATTATTTGATTGAAATTATAATTATTTTATTGATGGCTTTGACATTAAAAACAATTTTACGAGGTTTGGATGTCGACATTTAATTTAAGAGGAAAATCCTCTTAAATGAAGAATAATAATTTTGATACCAAAATTAAGAGGAAAATATGCATTTATTTTAGAGGAATCCTCTAGATTGAAAATTACTTTTTTTAGGGTGTATATACAGTGTTTTGGATAACAAAATTAGCCTGCATTACTATAGGATTTACGACACTATATAGTATTTAAAACACTAATAATATTTATGACACTTAAAATATTTAGGATATCATCAGATAATCTAATGTTCAGATAACAGTATATCGATGAAGTTTTATCTTTTAGGATACCAATATTTAGAATCTCCCTTCATTCGAAACATGAATTTTTGTATATTCACTATGAAGATACAATTAATTAAGACATCAGTATTTAGAATACCATCTCTTACTTTTTAAATCTTAATTAGTTAAGCTATTGATTTAAATTAGTAAGAATTTTCACTAATTTTTAATAAAACTTTAGTAAAAAAAAATTTTAAACTACTAAATTAAAAAGTAATATTTTGCTAAAAATTAGTAAAAATTCTTACTATAATTTAAATTAGTATAACTCGCACTAATTTAAATTTAGAGAGTATACGATATATTGAAATTTAGAAAAAATCGAAACATTGAAAAATCAAAATTTTAGAATACCATTATCTAGAGCACAAAAAATTTAGAATACCGTTTATAGAAACATCAATTTTTGCCATATCTTCTTTTTGCTTCAATATTTCAAAAGTATATATAAACATGAAATTTATAGAATTTCGGGTAAAATTATAAACTTCTTTTTTCTTTACATTCTATTACTTCATTTTATTGCATTTAAATATTTTTTTAATATTTTTCAAAAAAATTAATTAATTTTTCAAAAATATCGATAACGTGACAAATTACTTCATACTCGTCAATTCTTTACGATCGTCATCAAGGGGAAAAAAAAATTCC